ATATATATATATATATAAGATATAATCATCATGAATTTGTTCCCCAAGGATATCAATGTTTGGTGAATCTTCTAAACAATACTCAAAGGGATATTGGTTGATAACATAAACGTCTTATTTAGCCTTGACATCTTATTCTTCTCATTAGGATAACTAAATGCTAGATGGATCTCCATGTACACTTCCATTTTTAGGTCTCCATGTAGGAAAACATTTTTGACATCAAATTATTGCATGTCTCATCCAAAGTGAATTACTAGTGAGGATAATCGTTACTATATTTATCTTTACTACTTAAGCAAATGTCTGCTCACAATTAAAATATGGTTGGGTGTCCCTTTTGCAACCAATCTTCATTTATATTAATATTGGGTATCATAAGATCAATACTTAATTTGTATACCCATTTATAACTGACTAACATTTTAACTATCAATTTGTCTAAAACTCTCTGATTTAGTTTATTTTTAATGCATAGTCTCTTCATTCATGGTTACAATAAATTTCTCATCCTTTAAAATGTCTTAAACTTAGTTTAAAAAAATTATAGCGTTAATGGCTGCAACAAAATTTTAATAATGTGCACAAAAACGGTGGTGCATGATTAGTTCATATTTCATGAATTTGTGTATATTATTTCAATAAAAAAAATGGAACAACAAATATAAAAAGAAGAAAACTCACAAAATTTATAAAAGATAGTTAACTTTTTAGTTTAGTTCTAAATAAAAACTCTTATTGAGAAATTTCCTTTTATTTTGTAGGAAAATAAAATAAAACTCTTGCCAAAAAAAATCTAACACGTAGAATATTGAAGTGGAAGCTCGGTGTGAGATGTTAAGTATGAGCTTATATACATGCTCTAATGATGAAAAATATTGATTTTTATTATACTCAAAATGAAAAAATATCAAGGAGAATATGCTTGACAACACACAAAGTCACGTTTTTTTTGTTAGTGATAGTGTCTGAAACACTATGTGACAGCCGAAATTGAGAAATTTCCTTTTATTTTGTAGGAAAATAAAACAAAAACTCTTGAAAAAAAATGTAGCAAATAGAATATTGAAGTGGAAGCTTGGTGTGGAATGCTAAGTATAAGCTTATATACATGCTTTAATGATGAAAAATATTGATTTTCATTATACTCAAAATGAGAAAACATCAAGAAATGAGAATATGCTTGACAACACACAGTCACGTATTTTTTGTTAGTGATAGTGTCTGAAACACTATGTGCTGGCCAAATATTGAGAAATTTCCTTTTATTTTGTAGAAAAATAAAACAAAACTCTTGCAAAGAAAAATGTAGCACGTAGAATATTAAAGTGGAAGCTCGGTGTGAGATGCTAAGTATGAACTTATATAAATGCTCTAATGAAAAAAAGTATTGATTTTCATTATACTCAAAATGAGAAAACATCAAGAAAGGACAATATGCTTGACAACACACAAAGTCACACATTTTTTGTAAGTGATAGTGTCTGAAACACTATGTGCCAACCAAAATAGCTTCACCTTAATAAGTTTTAGGAACAAACATTTAGAAAAGTAGAACTATAACTTCAAGAATATAAAAATTTCACTTTCTTTGCAACTTCATTTTGTTGGGGATGCTAACACAAGTTAGATCACGATTTAAGTAGACGTAAGAAATTGATTCTAAACTAGACAAAAATGTTAAGAACACTTGAAAACTTCGTATTTAATTTTTATAATAAATATACAAGTGACACGAGTACAATAACCAATAAGTAATACAAACCATTTAGTCTCATATATAGTAGAGGTAGGAATCAAACCCCACACATTAGAATGCATAAGATTAAAATGTTAAAAAAATCTTAATATTACTGAGGAAAAGATGCACGATGGTATTTTTGCAAATTAACAAATGTCACGATGAAAACCCTTAACTGAATATTTTGTATAAAAAAAAAAGTGAGGAAGTAAAGACTTAAAAATGTCAAAAGGTATATGTTCAAGATGTTTATATTGGAGCCAAATTTGAGAAGTTAAACTAATATCCATAGAAATTTTATATATATATATATATATATATATATATATATATATGATTTCACGTGATATATATATATATATATATATATATATATATATATATTACATTCATAACCATTTAAAA